AAAAAATATAAATGTAAATGAAAGTATATAGGAATGTATATACTAATGTATATACATAAAGTATGTGTGTGTGTGTGTAATTGATTATTATGTATATAATTTTGTATACATTTAAAAATTTTTTTATTGTATATAATTTTGTTTATAATTTTGTTTATATTTTTTTTGGCTTGTTGCTATACCCCACTGCTCTGCAATTGAATTTTGATAACATTCAACTGCATAAAATCTTAAAGCAATCAAAGTCTGAAAGATAATATAAATGACAAAGTAATATAAGTTGTAAATTATATAACGTGTATATATGTAATTATTTAATATATAAATTATATAACATAATGTATATACAAAATATGTACATATTGATTTTTTGTATGTACATACATAGATAATATAAGAATCAATAATTTAAAAATAATTTAATTAATAATATATAAATAACACAGTACTTTATTTAATTGTAACCAATATTATTTTGTAATATATATGTAATACATATGCATAAATTTATACCTGATGTTCAACATTGAGACCATATATAGACGTTGACGTTGTAATCTTGGTCCCAAAACATCTATCAATTCCATCATAATATCTGGATTCGCTCTATATAATCTGACAAATTGATTGGGCCAATCGAATAAATTTGATTATTTCGCCATTGTCTCCTCTGTGCACAGCGTTCTAAAGATTCTGCTGTGTTCTTTCTTCCCATATTTTTGCGATGCTGTACAAAATTATAATAAATGTTATTAGAATGATATGTAAATAATATAATACAAATCAATAAATAATACAATGTAAATAATACTACAATGTAATAATAATTCAATGTCTTCTTTCCAATATTTGTGTATTCTCTCTTTCTAATTTTTGTATGTAACTACCAGAATCAAATCTGATGGAATCCAAAATCTTGCCAGTAGTAATATCTAGTATCACTGATTTTTATAATTGGGTCAAGTTATTGAATTGTTCTGCTATCATGCGTAATTAAAAATGGTATTCTTTCAGGACCCGTTTGAACACGCTTTATCTTGCACAATTTCCTCTTTTTATTTTTCAGGTTTCACTTTCTCTTTATCCAAGTTTCATTTGCTCTTTATCTTTATTAAATGCATGAGTGTCGGTCCACAATAAGTATTTAATCTTTAAGTCGTAAGAAATTGACCAATCATAGTCGATTATTCTTTTCATATTCGATTATAATTGGTCAATTTCTTACTTCTTAAAGCTTAAATCACCTATTGTGGACCGACACATACAAAAATTTATGTAAGGACAAAAGACATCCCACCTACTCAACGGCCGGAGAGGGACTCAAGAGGGAAAATTCAAAAAATTATCGGTGTCGATGTCGGTTGAATGCTACCGTCACATATGGAGGGTCTCGTTAGAAATAGCGACAGTTATCGTTCACGAACGACAAGCATCGTCAGTGTCGGTCCACAATAAGTATTTAATCTTTAAGCCGTAAGAAATTGACCAATCATAGTCGAGTATTCTTTTCATATTCGATTATAATTGGTCAATTTCTTACGTCTTAAAGCTTAAATCACCTATTGTGGACCGACACTTAGGTATCTATCGTTAATGATAGTACAGAATAGCTTTGTACGATACCTATCGGTCAATGCCGTTAACGACAGTTGTCGGTATCATCCATTTGTATCGGTTGCGCAAGCGACAGACGTCGTTATCGAACCGAACCGAACCATAGTTGTAGACATGTACAGAATGTCCCGGGTCAGTTATGCTACAATAATGGATTTGGCGGAGCGGTTGCATATCGAAAATAGCGTAACGTCCGCAATTGGTCAGGATGCCGTATGATGACGCGATCTCTATATGCGCGTATCAAAGCTCCGACTAATCGCTGACGTTCCGCCGTTTCACGTACGCGTCAATTTTGTTCTACTGACCCATGCAGCGGATCGCGCGTAAGCGAATTAGCGGATCGCCAATTACAGAATTGTTTTGCTAGCTCTGTTTGCAAAATAATATTTTATGTTGTCCGTGATTGGTGATCCGTTAATTCGCTTATGCGCGATTCGCTGTATGGGACAGTAGAACAAAATTGAAGCGTACGTAAAACGGCGAAAAGAAACAAAAATCAATTCAGTAAATTAAAATTTCTTATGGGAATTGTTATCAATTATTTATCATTTATGGATTTGTCAATCGGTTATTGTTATTGTGTTAAAGTGTTATTTTTTTGTAGCAAACAAAATGGATTTAGATGAGGACATATTATTAGCAATTTTCGTCTTAGTACAAAAATTTAAACAAAGTTGTTCTTTTGAACAAGAAACACTGCGTCGAAAAATTTTACTCTTGTATGCACTGTATAAAGTTGTAAGAAGCGAAGGAAAAGGCAAATAATATCAATTTTGGGTACGACCTATTTACTGTGCATCGACGTTTCTTGCAAAAAGTGAAAATCTTCAAAAGAAATGGAGCTTAAAGATAAAACAAAATTTCATAATTACTTCAGAATGGATTCGATTATATTGAAAAAATTACTCGAATTAATTGGTCCATTAATTACTAGACAATCAGTCGTTCGCGAATCAATTTCTTCTGAAATGCATTTATACATCACGCTTCGCTATTTAACTTCGGGAGATAGCATGACATCAATTTCATATGCCTTTTGTGTTTTTTATTACTGCTTACACTAAACCGCTGCTTAAAAACGTAATAAAACGGCGGAACATCAGCGATTAGTCGGAACTTCGATACGCGAATACGCGCGTATAGAAATCGCGTCATTGGACAGCACCCTCAGGCTGGTGTCTCATGGCGCGGAAATCCACAACGGAATGGAACCAATCACAGCAAAAGAACGAACAGAATGAACGAGTTTTCTTTTGGTTCTTTCGCTGATTGGTTTGCGCGTTCCGTTCCGCTGTGGATTTCCGCACCATGGGACACCAGCCTCAGATTTTCGATACGCGATACGCGCAATACGCTCCATGGGATGGCACGTAAGTGTCGGTCCACAATAGGTGATTTAAGCTTTAAGAAGTAAGAAATTGACCAATTATAATCGAATATGAAAAGAATAATCGACTATGATTGGTCAATTTCTTACGACTTAAAGATTAAATACTTATTGTGGACCGACACTTACCTCCCTTTGCTGGGGGACAAACGACAAAAGACATATTCTGGCAAGAACTTTAATAAAGAACTTGCATGAACCTCAGTGGCTGCAATGCTCGAAGCTGTCCGATAATAATATCGTATTTTTGGTGTGCTATATCTATCTACCGAGAATTGAAGTTATAATACTATTAATGTTTACAAGTCCAGATGCTGAAAAGGAATTTTATAAGATATGGCAGAAATACGGAAAGGAACGACGAAAAGTTATTATATCCTTAAAAGAAAAATTTGGACAGAATGCACAACCCATATATGTTCCTAAATGGGAATTATATGAGATATGTGGTAGTTTTCCTCATACAGTTATACCTCAGAAGTATGTTGATTATCTATCTCAAGTATGATGTCAAAGCATTATCATTCAGAGCAATATTACAAATTATATTATTGTTGACAGAATTAGCAGCAATTATATGAAGACTACATCTTTAAAATCAAGTCAATATAGTCAACCATCCACACAGTTTCAAATGTTTGTGTCACAAATTGTGAAACCATCTATAGCTCACAATTATATTACAACTATACAGACTTCCAGTACCAACTGTGTACTAGATTTGTATGCATCATTATTTAGTATATGTTGCATTATGTGATGAATAATATAAAAAAATATACTCATATATGCTCATATGTAAACAACAACAATAAATTTATTTATTTTCAGACAATGATACATCATGTGAGTCTGTTGTCTCAATCTTTAAATATATCATTTCAGTCTCAAAAACAGCAGCAAATTCAAACAAAGTCTCAATCCCAAATGCAACTTTCTTCTACTACTGAAATTAAAGTATCAAAAAAAGAAGCAAGTAATGCATAACAGGTCTTGCAGACAATAAGTCAACCAACAGCAAAGATTGTTCCTCCATATCTAAAAAAATAAAAGTATAAATATAGATCAAATAAATATGTGTGCCAAAGATATAAATAAAATATATATAATTAAAAATATAATAAATATATATATAATTAAATATATTAAATATATATAATTAATAACTTACTTTGTGTACTATTTGCGTACATTAAATATTCGTTTACATTTAAGCACAAGAAAATCTAATCTACGGAAAAATGGTTGCTGATTTCTCATTATAAACTAAATGTACATATGTATAATTATATTTTCCTTTTTTGCAATAAGACACCTTGTTATAATGTAATCTTTTTCTTCAACAAAATACGCAGTCAGTACGCTTAATATTGAAACATTTAAAATGAGAACAGCACCAGAATTTCTAAAGATTCTACAAACTTTATTAAAATTTTCAGAAATTCTCTATTTTACAGCCAATCAGCATGTCTCAGAATTTATTGTATGACCAATGAAATACTGATCTTTTACTATAATTCTTTATATTGTCTGTTCGTGATTGACTGATTATTACTTCTGCTGTTGTAAACAGGAATGGAGTAAAATTTTTGTTACGTCCCGAGATGGCGCAGAACGGTTAATGGAATTTGGGAAGGGATATCTAGTATATATTTGTATTGTTATGTTCAGTGGCGATACTGGATATGATTAAACTATTTTCGGATTGGAACCCGCGACAGAGCGGAAAATGGGAGGAAATATGTTTTGTTAATATAATAATCGGGATATGATATTGTATTGTAAAGTTATGATTGTTGGTATAATTGGTTGTGAAATTGTGATTCAAAGTTATTTAATATGATAGAAAGAAATGATTTGTTTGATTATTGTAAAATATTAAATGTATGTAAAAAAAATTATGTAACACGA